TCCTTTTTGTGCACGGGACACTGGGTTCTGGGAAGCATCCCCTACGCCACCCTTTCGGGATAGATATTCGGGATTTTCAAGGTCCTAACAACATATTTTGAATGCCAACATCATGTTGAAGGGTATACAAAGTTTGGTCCGACCGAACTTAACATATTTTTTATTTGTTAATGTTTTTATTGTGCACAAAATCGCTGCGTCTCATCATCATCTTCAAGACCAGTGTACTCTGAATTTCCGATACAAAAAGTTGCAATTGGGTTTAATTTTTTCCTTCAAAATACAAAAAAGATTTTTTATATTTGTTATTTAATTTTCTATCTCTTAATAAATATTTACATTTTTCAAACATCCTTAAATTATATTGGAGAATTTTTGGTAGAGGAAAAACACAAATCAAATTTGTTTATGGTGGCTTCTTGTTCTCTCTTGTCCCTTTTACTTTTCTTTTACACTTTTCTAAAATCAAAAGTAACAAATTGTGAATAGTTAACATTCCGTGCGGATTTTTTTCATGATAAGAGGCAAATGAAAAGAAGGAAAATTCCTTACTTACTGCTATTCATAATCTTAATGGTTTCCATAATGCCATCACAAAAGTCCTAAATAAAAAGCAAGTGTAATAGTGTTTTTTATTTAAATTTATTTTATATTCTTTTTTATTTTATAGTTTTAGACACATTTTTTATTTTCTTAAATAAATGCTCTGTACTTTTTCATACGATTGTTTAAAAAAAATTAAACAGATTTGTTTGTTTGTCAAAATCATAGTCATCATTGAAGCGGCGGCTGTAGGAAATGTTATTTCTAAATGTGGATTTTACACTGTATACAGTCAAACTGTCATTTATCGCGATATTTCAACTTTCTTAGATTGTAATAATAAACTGTATATGTAAAAAATGAGTTTTTTTTATTAGCGAACATTTTATCCGAGTAATGTTTTGTTATTATTTATGTTTATTATTAAATTTTCATAAATTGTATTGATTTTTATTATATTTGCTTTCTTTAGCTACAAAACAAATAACTGGCTACTTAAACCAACTCGTTTTTTGTTTATTTATTCTAGTTTTCATTACTTTTAATCCTGGTCCGTTTGTTATATTTTTTTTTCTTTAAATTTATATAATATTGTATCAAAAATGTAGTTGCTTATATAAAGGGGGAGGGAACGTACATAAATATCTTTGTACGTCAAAAATACATTTTATCTTTAAAATTAAACATAACAATAAATCAAACAAAACATTTTATAACATTTTTTTATAGAGTTTGAAAAAATAAGCATTTTTTTGTTGTTGTTTTTTTAGTATCAAAAATGTTTTAGGTGGTCTATAGTTACTCTGTCTCTGTTATTTTCTTTTTTTTTAAGAAAATCATCTGAATGGACCTTTCTTGGACTGTCTTTAGATATATAGATATATAGATATATAAAGGTTACTTTTATGTATTTTTTTAACGAAATTTTGTTAATGAAAATGTGTGATTTGGAATTATGTTATTCAATTTTTAAGTTTTTCAGATACAAATCCGAATCATTGAACCCGTTTTAGCCTAAAAACTAGTTTTTACATGAACGCTCAATAAAAAGAGTCCCTCGAAAATACCATGCTATACTTTTGAAGACCCAAAATCCCACCATGCAGCACAACAATATGGCATTGTAAATATTCACCTGGAAAATCTGATAGCCATTGAGTGTTCCAAATGTTGAAAAATGTTCATATATAGATTGAAATTTGGTAAACACATTTATACAACAAGATTCAACTCTAGGGGAAAACTTGAATATAATTTGTATCAAAAATTTACTGAGTCTTTAAAAGTACTGAACTCTCATTATAAGAACGAAAATGTCAAAAATGACACGAATTATGGGTATGGTATGTTCTGGAACTCACGGTGTGTTCTTTTCACTGCACACATACTCATCACCTCAGAAGTTACCTCCTGTTCTGCATTTCATGTGAATTTCGAACTGCGACAAAAATAAACGCCGACATGGTACTTTGCAGAAATAGTTTTGCCATACAATATAAAATGTATTCGTTTTTAACATTGTTTATTTTATTTATTTATTTTATTATTATTATTATTTTTTTTTACTTTTTAATGATTTATTATTCGCAACATAAAATATATGTATGAAAGACTCTTTAATATCATTAAATTGTTGATTGAGTTAAGGGGAACATTTGGTAACCCTATTTTGAATCTCTCGCTGTTTATGTCAATCGAGAGATTCATTCGGAATAAATGCAAAACAAACCTAAGTATCTATTTAAAATTGTGTTTTTTTTAAGGCATTTTGTCTGAATTTTGTGATTTTAAACAAAATATACGCAATAATAACATATTAATCATTCATCACGTAACTTTTTTATTTCAAAAAATTTTTCTTTTATATAGAAAAACATGAATACACCCGACTCTCTCTATGAAAATGTAAGTGTAAAGAATACACCTAAATGGGTGTAAAGTGTGTTACAGAACACCTCGGCGTGTGTACGATACACTTGTGCCGTTGAAGTGAATACCAGAACATGCACGTAAGTTTGTTTTACATGTGTCGTTTATATTTTTTCATTCATGTTTTTTAGGCCCGTACCTAAATTCAGTGCGTTGCGATCCAATGTAAAAAAAACTTCATCAAAACCATCAAGGTGCAACATGCACCCGATCCTTTTGATAGTAGTTTCAAAATGTAAACCTACAAATGGCTAATTTATAAAACCTTGATCTCAACGTAGAGTGTTTACGTTAATATTCCTTTCCTGTCCGACAATGTAAAGCTTCTTCCTAGGCAAATTCATTCCATTCTGACACATTCCGTTCGGAATAGTAATAACGTTCATAATTCTTATCAAGAGCGCATTTGTCCCTGAATCGTAAATAGGTATCCTTGCAAAGCATTTACTAAGCGCATAACTCTTCAATTGTCCGTTCGAAACAACAAATCTTCCCCTTATGGACTTGTGAGGCTGTACAATATATATTTTCCATTTTCGTTGTCTATCCATATTGTCAGGAAAGAACTTTCGACTACAGCTACCTGTAACAACAGCAACTGAAGCCCCATCCGCAATAAAATTACAGCTCCATGATAATCGATTTTTCAAAAACCTACGCTCCTAATTTAATATATGAATTTATGCTGGATATAAATACAGAGCAGCTACAATTGAAAGGAAATGCTTTTCCACACGTGTACTCGCTCAGCATTTTGAGATTCTTTACCAATCAATCAGAAATCAATTAATGATAGACTAACACAAAATAACTACGAAGACACGCTCTGTACAATTAACTCTTTTGGGCGCCACCGTCCTTTAAAAGGAGCACCAAAAATTAAAATACCACTGTCAAAAAAACAAGCGTTATCTCAGCAATTTTCTATAAATTATTTTATACTTGTTCTATGCTCTCCTAGCTTTATGATGAAATAAAATTGTATTAAAAGAATATATAAATAATCATGTATGTCAGGATGTTACACAATTTGCAATTATATTGAAAAGGTTTCTATCTATGATAATCTGATATATGTTTTCTATAAAAGTTGACAAGATCTTCAAATCAGATAAAATATATTGATATATGAGTCGTTTATTTAGTGGTAGTTTAATTCCATTTGTTTTAATATTGAAATCTTTCAAGCTCTGTTTCAAAAATATTGTTAAGTGGGGTTAATTTTGTTTGTGGCTTTGTTTCCTTTAACGTGGTCGTATATAACGTAATAAGTTTTTGTAAACTATGATTTGTATCAGAACCTAAAACGGATCTAAATCACTTCAAAAAAAAAACACACTCAATAAAGTGCTATATATTTCCTTCAAATTAACTAAATAAAATTAAGATTTAATTCTAAATAGCTAATTATTTGAGAAAGCAAACTGTATTCACAATTTCGAATACACAAAAAAATACAAATTTGCTATAGTAGAAGTAGTGTTTACCGACGTATCGCTTGTAACAAAATTGAAAAGTCCTGGGGGATGTCATAGAAACTATGTCAAATACTACTACCACAATTCTAAATTATGTCTAAAAAGGTCCATTCTCATATACAATATTACCATGTTGTTTGGCGACTTCTCACTTACAAAATAACATGCCTTTAAATGCAAAACAAATTTACTAAGATGCAAACATAAAATAATAATGAAAACATATACAGCCAGCCATATATGTATATATAAACTAGGTATGGTATACAGAATACTACACCAATCCTCCTTCTATACCTATATTAACTAACAATCTCTATTATTTGAACTTAAAAAAGGCAACCGTTTGCAAACGAGATAACGTCAAGAGAGATATTACTAACAATAATAATACATACTAATTAATTCTTTCATTTAAGCATTTTACAACATTTGTTTGTTTTTGGCTTTTATAAAATTTTTGTAAAGATTTTATAAAATCTTGTCATTTATTTAATATTTATTTTTTTTGTTAGCAATTAAAGAAATTTAATATTATAGACCATTTACAAAAGACAAAAGAGACATAATTCTTTAAATATATAGTTTGTTGTGTTTGTATACAAAAACTTAAAAAAAAAACAATGTTTGTTTGTTCGCTTAATCCTTTAAATGTGGGGGATAGTGATAGATAGTTTACTTTAGCTTACAATAATTTACAAAAAAAGAAAGAGAAAGAGAAAAAGGACATTAAATTATAATAAGAGTGGGTGGGGTCGCGAAAGAGTGGGCGATGAATGTTATGTGTGATACAATGATGATTGTTGATTGTTTCGTTTTGATTGCTGTTCAAAAGGATTGTTTGTTATGTAATGCTGCTGTAAGAGAGTAGTAGTTGTAGTTTTTTGTTCTTTTTTTAAATACCCTTAACAATAAAAAATGTGTGTTGTATGTTTTCGTGGTGGATGGTTTCTTACGTTTTGTTTTTACACATTTAAAGATGATTGTTTTTGTTTAGTTTCAATATAAATAAGAAATTATATAATATATAATTTATATTTCTTCATTCCATTTTTGTTTTTGTTGTATATAAATTGTTGCTAAAAACTATATAAAATTAATTTAAATATTTTAATAGGCTTAAATCGAGTGGTTGTGTTGTGTGTGTATGTTTCATGTTGTCCTATCTTATTTGACTTTTCTCTGGTGAAGACTAGAGCTACTGGTATCTGGATTAAGAATAGCTTCATTTGATGAGATAACACCTTCCTTGAGTATGTGTTCGCCACCACCATTGGCATAGCCGTTCTTGTAATGACCATTTTTCAAATGTCCATTTGTTTGTGGTAATGTGGTTTCAACTTCGTCTTCCATGACAGGCTGTAACGAAAATGAGATAAGAAAAAAAACAGTCAAATTTAAAATGTTGTTAAAAAGTGTAATAATTTTATAAATATATATTTTAAAATGCTAAAAAAAATAGCTCATGAAATTCTATTTGAAATCCATATCTTTTAAAAATTTTTAATTAAACTTGTGTTCAAGGGATATGGGGAAGTTTCGTTCCCGAATTCAACTCTTAGCCGTTCAATCATAGAGTGATGCTAACTATTTGATTTCTCAGTCTGCCAACTATATAAACTGTTACGATCCAATGAAATTAACACCCTGCTGATGGACATTGTATGGCTACACAACACGTGGAGTGTTTTTATTTACTTTATATCACGCTATGCACAACAAAATATTATGCGAAACGCTTAGGAATATATTCTTGTTTATTCTTCAGCTCCAAGAAAGAAAGGGAGAGGAGAAACCAAAAATTATTAGAATTAATAATCACAAATTAACACAACTGACTAAATTAAAAATAGAAAAAAAAGATTACAAAAAAAAAACTAAAGAAAAATCCAGACATAGGTTAAACAAAAACAACTCAGGCTCTTACGTCTATGTGTATTTAAAAATGCAATATTGTAAAATATTGTAAATAAATGCATTACATATTGCATGTGAGAAAATAATAAGGCATGGCTGTAAAAAATGTATGAACACAACACTTCAAATTAGACGTTAGACAATCAAATCAAAAAAATTGTATAATTTTCCGTTGTTTGTATTTTTTTATTCAATAGATCGATCGATTGATTCCTGACTGAACTTCACCAGGGTACATATCAGAATATATTGCTAGTTGTTTGCGTAATATTATTCAATAAATATGTACAAAGACCAAAAGTGTTTTCCATTATTTAAGATACAAAATAAGTTTTGTTGCTGTAGCTAATTGTATTTAATTAACACTTTGGTGTTAAAACGTACCGGAGCCATGTACTTAGATGTTTTCTAATAATCTAGTGTTGGAGATTATTACTCGTCACCTATCTACTCGAATTCAATTAGAAATAAGAAGCAAAATTCCCAACCACTTCCTTCGTTTATTTTGCCCAAGACAGAGGAGAAACAACAACAAATGGCAAAGCTTCTATATATAAATTCATTACCACGCCTTTTCTAAATCAAAATTCAATTCAAAGCCAGCCACAACATGATATTTTGTAATAATTTAACGAAAACAACCAACCAAAATGACATGCATGGATGATACTTAGACCTGTAGTATTTGCAATTGTGTGTTAAACAAAAAAATCCCAAAACATACGCAGCACACCACCTCTGAGACTAGGGGTGTGTGTTGTTTTATTTTTTTATAAAAAAAAAATCACACATATCTTTTATTTAGGGCTCAAAGGTTATTGATCGTTCAACGCATAAACATTTGAAGGTCATTAAAAATGTTTGTCAAATCCATTCATCGATTGCTTGATTGATTTGTTAATTTGATATTCACACTTTTTTTCAACAACAAAACGAAAATGTGTGTATGTCGTTATATTTTTGTTGGTAATTATTGCCAAATAATCACCAATACTTTTACAACTTATTCTTCTTCTTCATTAGTTAATTGCAGATCGATATAAAAATTCCCCAAAAGAAAAAATGCAATGAATTTGTAATTGAAATAATTTGTTATTCATGGTCGTTTGCAAAGTTTGCAGGTAAAAATGTGTTAATGTAGATGGACTTCTTTTGTATAGGCTTTAGAAGGAATACATTAAGACATTGAATATTTAGTTTGAATTGTAAATTGAATTTCAAGATTCGTAAAAAAGAAGAAAAACACACTCCATTGGAAGCAAACTTGGATAGACATTAAAAATATAATTTTTATAAAATCTGAAAATAGGATTAAATCTACGCTTGTTAGACCTTACAAATATACTTTTAAAAAACCACGCCTTAGATAGGCCTTAAGAAAATGTTCCAACAAAATCCACACCTAGATACACCTTGAGAAAACGTTCCTACAAAATCCACGCCTTAGATAGGCCTTGAGAAGATATTCCTACAAAATCCAGGCCTTAGATAGGCCTTAAGAAAATGTTCCTAAAAAATCCACACCTAGATACACCTTGAGAAAACGTTCCTACAAAATCCACGCCTTAGATAGGCCTTGAGAAGATATTCCTACAAAATCCACGCCTTAGATAGGTCTTGTGAAGATATTCCTACAAAATCCACGCCTTTGATGGGACTTGAAAAAATATTCTTTAACAATCCACGCCTTAGGCCTTGAGAAAATGTTCCTACAAAATCCACGCCTTAGATACGCATTGAGAAAATATTCTTTAAAAATCCACGCCTTTGATGGGACTTGGAAAAAAACTTCTGTGTAAATTCACGTCTATATAGGCCTTGAAAAAAATATAAATCTTAAAAACCTCTCATAAGTAGCATATACATAAATATTACACATCTTTCTCAGTTGTCTTTTATATAAAACATATTTTACAGTCCGGATCTAATAGAATAATTTTTATGGGTAATTTAAAATGAATAATCTTCTATATGTTGCCTGAGAATAGTAGTGATTTTATAGATAAAATACTTCCACTTTTCTAAGAACATACAAACATTACAATATTCTTCAGTAATTTGTTTAAAATATATTCAGAATGTTATTTATTGCATTCATTTTTTATAATTTTTTCTGTTTAACTTACCATACATGCTCCACGATTACTATTGCCATTGGCATAGACAGCACTGCCATTTGTTGTTGACTTGCCATTTGTGAGGTATTCTTTTTCTGACGCACTGACATGACCATTGGCAGCAGCAGCCTTCACTTTTTGGGCAGCGCGGGTATATTTGGTTTTATAGAAATCTGAGAACAAAAATAGGAACATAACGCCATGCAGACCAATCCACACCATAAATCCTTTAGGATAATCACATTCACGGAATAGCAATTGGAATTGATGTGTGAAGATAGCAACAAATTGGACCTAGAGAAACAGAAAAACAAAACAATTCATTTTCATTTCTTTCTGATATAAAACTTCAAAGTTTCAAATTAACTTACCATTTGGAAAGTTGTCAAATACTTCTTCCACCAAATGTATTTCTGATATTGTGGTCCCATGGCAGCGATCATATAATAGAAATACATAACAATATGTACAAACGAGTTCAATAAGGCAAAGAAGGTACTGTGGCCGCCTGGGGCGAATTTCAAACCCAACCAAACGGAGAAGGGCATACAGCCGTGATGAATGACATGCAATGTCGATACATGCTGGGTTTTCTTACGTAAAATAAAGAACAGCGTATCGAAGAATTCGGTGAATTTCGATATGTAATACCACCAACAAATGTTTGCCATCTGGAAAAAATAAAGTAAGCGAGATTAGTAATATATTTAATTATAAAAAATAATTACAAATTAAAATAAATACATTTTGCTGTGAAGATTAGGGGTTTTAACGATTTCTTCTAAAGAGAATAGGAATATGCCTAAAATAACAAATCTAAAAACTGGACTTTCACTGATGTATGAAAGTGGATTTTAAAGTATAAAGTAGGTATATATATATGTATATTTATATATATATATATCTACTTATATATTCAAATAAGGTAATATATATACGGGAGAATAAGAAATCCATTAAATCTATTATTTTCGGCAGATGGGTGTACTGATAGATTTCTCGTAAATATCGATCAAACAATTTCAGATTTATGCTCGTTGGAAGGGTGACATTTCGCAGTAAAAAAAATTATTTAGCTGTTTTTTGTTTGGTACTGAATGCACAAGTTACAGGGTGTTAAAAATTGAATTGAACAAAGAGCAAATTCGGTACATTTTACAGTATTTCTTTGACAAAGGCGAAAATGCAAGCCAAGCGGCTAAAATTGTGTATATGGTTCCGATACTGTAACGGCCAATTATGTGTAATTTTGGTTTCGTAGATTCCTTTCAGGAATCTTTGAAATTTTGAATTTTTTTTAAGTTGACCGGCATGTTAGCAGTCCTATCGTTGCCCAAGGTCTAAAAATCGACCATAAACTAATTACAATTGGCCAGAAATGGCCCCAAATTGGCAACCTGAGAGGTGTGTGTTCAACAAGGACAACGCTACGCCACACACATCTGCCTTATAGGGTATAAAAAAGTAATAAAATAAATAGTTGTAGATTTAAATTCCTTATGACGTCATTATTGTCATTTTATATTGATTGAAAACATTTCAAAGAATAAATTAAGGATTTTTAACAATAATTTGCGTCATATTTTAATTTAGACTAATCGTGACCGATAATCACAGGAAATACACACACATATAAACTTTAATAAAGATATATGAAATAAGCTTTAATTTGAAACAAGAGCTCCACTTATTAGCGAAGCTTGCATTCAGCAGCTGCTTTCATTTCTATAAGATGGGATATTGGAAATAATTGAAGGATTCAATTTCATAAAATATTTTTTTCTAGAAATGTTCTTAAATTTCGGTTTTATAGAACAACTTTTAAAAAATATTTGTGAGATTTTTTAAAATATTTTAAGGTCTTTTTAAACACTGATTATGGGCTTGGCAATAGTGGCAAAACTTTTAACGTTCATGCTCCTATCAGCATTTCATATAAATACGAATCTAGTTAGAAGTCTGAATTTTTGATCAGTTCTGGTCACGGTTTATACATGGTTTTAAACATGTAGTGTTTGTACTTACTCTTAAAGCCTTTGGGCTATTGCTATAGTCAACAGGTTGACATTTGAAATTGTAATCACCCCACCAGCCACTCGCTAAATACTGCAAATAAAAACAAGAAATATATTAATTTGTATTTGAATTATTTTTTAAATAGAATTGTTCAACCTACCTCGTAGAATATCCACGCACTAAACACTGTCTGGAATAGATTATACCATACCAAGACATTTCTTAAATCCATGGCCTTGCGTTTGGCCATTAACTTTGGTCCTAATGATTTACTAAAATAAGCGTAAAAGACACACAGCAAAAATGTGGGTACAGGTGAGGACATCATGAACCAGCCATTTACACGGGGATCTGTAAGATAAGAAGGAAATTTATATTAATATTTATTAGAAAAATAAAATGAAAAGGAATGAAAGGGAATAAAAAGGAAAAATTCGAATTAAATGAAAAGTATCCAATGGTATAAAAGGATCATTGCTGTGGTGTATGAAAAAGAGTTGATATGTGAATCGGGCTTACAATACAAAGGACAGGCATTTTCATCACATGGTTCTTAGGCATTAGGTATATTGCTATGTATATAGAGCTGCTAGTATTTCCAAATGAGTCATATATTGACCATTAATGTAACGATATTTATTCTATTTGCATTATAATAAACTGATTTATTTAGAAAAATGCCATTAGTTCAAATATGCCGCAAATCTTTGATATTTAATTTAAGAATCAAGTATGCCCTTATCATTTTATGAGTATTGGAAATAAATTAAATAACTTTATGAAACAAGTATGCTTTTAACATGTTATGAGCATTGGACAAAGAAGTGGATATTATTTTGATATTGCCGAAAAAATTGGTATAATTTAGAAATGACATTTGCATTTATATCTGTCTAGTCACATAATGTCATTGATACAAAATTTAAAAAATAGACTAAGATTAAATTAATTTTCAATTTATTGAACTTTCCAAAAACCACAAATGTGTTTGTTCAGAATCTAAATTGCTAGCAACAAATGTCAATAGTCATTGTATCCATGGCCAACTGTATCTTTAATAAAATATGCCATTTAATTAACCCATATTCTAAGATACAAACATAAAATTATAAATATCATTTGTGTTAAAAATAAAAACAAAATTCTAAAATAAATATATTTAGTTGTTATGCAAATTGGAAATCATTAAAAGAAGTTTGTATTTAAAGGAACAAGTTTTTAATTTTCAAGATCAAATCGACTTGAAAGAAATTTGTTTTCACCGCTAGAACGTTTTATTTACTGTTTGATATTTCAATGTCATAAAAAGAACTTAATTTATGTAAATAAATAAATTAAAATTAATTCAAAAATACTATCTCATGAAAAAAACCAAGTGTACTTAAAGAAATGCCACTAATAACGACGACATTTGAAAAACAAGAGAAATTGAATATTTATCAAAATATTGGAAATATATGTTACGCCAAATAACAAAAACTTGCCATTGAAAGTAGACTAGTTTAACGGGAATAGTGAAAGACAAACAAAGAAATGTCAATATTATGCGTAGCAAAAATTTAACCTTTAAGCAATAATTAAATTTCTATAAATTATTTATGAGAAATATAAAATTATTGGTTGAAATATATTTTATGGGGTGTGAAATTGAAATATTGTATTTATAACTCTTATATAAAGACATTTATTTTTATTTATTTATTTATTATTTTTTTTTTTTTTTTTGAAATGTTTAAAGATATGTATATTGTGGAGTTAAACAACGAACAATTGGTAGATTTTATATAAATGTCCTGTTTTCCTAAGAAGGTGTTTTTACCACATTTCGGCGTCAAATGATGAAATTTCAAATGTCAACAATTAACAAAACATTTACGAACATCCTAATCAGCTGTATTTTTCTTTCAAAGTCTAAGCAATAAACATAAATTTACGATATACGATATATGAAACTTTTTATCATTGTTTTCCGAGAAATAAACTGACCACCATGGACTGCCAATACTAAAAACTAAAATTGAAACACTATTGTACGTGTTTATGATTCAGTAAAGACCCCAAATTGTTTATGAATAATCAATTGTAGTTGGGCACACTTCATCGTCGGACGGACTTTGATCTATATAGCGTGTAAAAGGTTTTATCAGCATTTTTGATATAAATTATTTTTAGGCCATAAACAATAAAAGCCAAAATTTATCAACATTTTTATAAATCGGTGTGACTAAGGAATTTTCGTTTAATTTTTAAAAATGTACTTACCACTTTTGTTGTCCATGAGATCCCTGTACCAGTCATATATATCATGTGCAATTGCTAGGGCCATTTTTAATTTGTTTCAATAAAAACTGTAAAGAGAAAAGAAATTGAAATATAATTAGTAAAAATATTGAATAACAAATATAAATATAATGAGAATAATTAAAAATTAGAAATTTACATATATAAGTCGTTTATTTTGAAAGTGTTTCAAATCCATTTTAGATTCAAATACAAATCTTATTTTTCTAGAAAAGTTTCCAAAACATATTACGTTGAATATTCGATCATGTTTACACAAGTCAAATCAATATATGAAAGAATGTTCAAAATAAACGACTCCTATACAATTTAAGGGAACCCCACCCATTCTCGATTTTAATTTTTCAAGAATTTCAATGGGCTGGTAAATCAATGCCAATGCTTGTTAAGGTTTGTAACTTTGCACATATATATTTGAAGATTTAAAAGAGAAGAAAAATAATTTACAAAAAATGATTGTTATTGTTTTGTTGTTATTTTTTGTAATTAAAGAATAGTCCTTATTTTTTATGGCGGGCATGATAACTCCTCACTGGAACATCGGAATCCGAAAATTCCAACGGTGGAACATCGGAATCCGAAAATTCCAACGGTATTAGAAAGAGTACATGTCTGGCTCTCGTATGAACTAGGATTATTGACTTCGCTCTAAAATTAACAAAATGGTGGACCTTTGAAAAAATATTTTTGGAAAATCGCCGATTTGTTACCAAAAACCAAGTTAAAAAATAAGGAAGATCTTCACCGATTGGCTTTATCCTAGTTCATACGAGAGCTATACACTCCCAGAGAAACGTTTCAAAATTTGGAACCGATTGGATTAAGTTTTTTAAACCGCAAAAAAAATAACGTTTAAAGTTTAAATAACTTGATCATCGGCTATATAAGAAAAAATTGGCTTATAACATTAAATAAATCACTTTTAAAAATCAACGATTCATATGAACTGCTCCTTAAAGCTAATGATACAATATATGCTTAATTGTTACAAGTTTCTTTGGTCCGATTCAGACCATTTTGAGTCGGTTTGAAAAATTACTCTTCTTGTCCTGCCCGATATAACTGTCAAAAAAGAGTAAACATTTAGACCCAAATATTCAATCCTACATCATGTTCCAAAATGAAGTCTATCTAACAAAGGGACAACATTTTTAAAATGTATGTTCGGGTTGTCCGTTTTTTTGCCAGATAAATAGATTAGTTGTTGGTGTAGCAGCCATACTGCTTTTAAACAATGGGTTGAGGTGATAGTCGTTGGCCGATTGAAACTAGGGTCGTTTCGCATCGTAGACACCTTTTGTCAAATAAATTAGTGGTGTTTTGGTGTGTTCTTCGTAGTAAAGTCGGACTGAGCCGAACATAGGGTACCCTACACAAGTACCATGAACATCTTACTTTCTGCGGTTCTATATTCTTAGTTTGGGCAATATTGCACCATCTTGACAGATTATAAGTCAACACCTCCACATTCTATTTTCCACACCTTGTTTTCCCGACCCTAAACAGCCGTTGTAAGTATTTGGTGTAATATATATGACGTTCTGCATATAATAATGACCTCTAGAGCGAATGGAATATCTGACAAAAATAAAGTAAATATCATCTCAATATCACCGTAAATTAAATGGGTCGTCATTAACCATAACCGGAACTTCATGTAAAATTTCAAAGCGATCAGCGCGAGTGGGGTAAAAGTAATACTAAACAATATCATAACACATAAACACCTTTAAATAATTACGTATACATCAATATAGTTGGAATCAATTTAAAAGTCAGCCACTCCTCTTGGATATATTATCAACTTCTCGGGTCTATGTCCTTCAGGAATAAATATATACGCCCCAAAATAAACATATTGACCGATCTTCATAAAATAGACATGCTTATTCTGTGACCAGATTCCCTTCGTGGTATACAATTTCGTGGTCATAATTGTGGCCACTAAAGCGACAAGAAAAACAGACAAAAATATTTTTTTGGTCCAAGAAAACTAGAATTCTTCTTCGGCCGAAAATTTCGGGACGATTGGTCCATAACTATATCTGTATAAATTATAATGGACGAACACACGGACTAGATCGACTCAGCTAGTAAAAAAAAAATATTTTAATTTAAGTTGGAATTAATCACAAAAGGGAGGTTGTTTCCTAAAATAACTGCCTGTATGGTGCCACCTTATAATAAAACTACAATAATTTGAAAATAAAACAACTACAACTAATGAAACGAAAGCTCAATCATCCCAGTGGAAACTTACAGAAGAAACAAGACAAAGAAAATAACGTCAAGTTTGATGAAAGATGCAATTTCGTTTTTTTATTTTTTTGATTTTTTAAAGGCGTCATATTTTTATATTTTGTAAAATGAAACCCCCTAACCAAAGTTGTTTATTTATGTTATTGTATGACTTCCTGATTTTGAGACATTTTTTATTTTGATTCCATTTAAGTTCAATTCATATTCCAATAAGAAAATCTCCAATTTATTTCCTTAACTACACTTTTATTGCAAGCGATGATCTTCCTACTATACAAAATTTCCTAAAAGACCCCCCATCAAAAATTTTAATTAACATTAACATAATACAGCAGTAATTTAAATGAAGAAAATCGTGTTTTTATTACGAGAACTCCTCATTAGCCAATAATTATAGCACCAACAGAAACAACGACAACAAATCGACAGCAAATAAATAATTCCACATAAAATTTCCATGAAATAAAAAATGAAACGAATGCCAAGGCTAAACTTAATACAATCAAAATAAAAAAATGTCCCACAACAGTTTCGTATTAAAAATGGCTAGGATTCTAGAATATGCCACCAAGAGAAAAACAAAATTTCCATTAATTACCGGTTTTTGGCTAGTTTCAGCAGCAATAAAGGATTCGGGGAAGGAAGCAGTTTTGAAAAACCAAAATGAAAGACCAATATAAAAGTTTCGTTTGATGTCGACCGTCTTAATTGGTATTATTATAAACAATGCGTTTGGATGGGGAATTCCATTTATTTGTAATATGCGTAAGCTAGGATTGAAATGAAATTGAAGGGCTAAGCATATAATAAAGAACATTTTCTGAAAACCAGCTATACATTTTATTGAAACTTCCTTATTGTTTTTTAATTTATATAAGAGAACAAATTAAAACCCATAATAACTGATTTCGATAATTTTAAATGTATTATGTGCGGTTTCTTTATATAACTGCAAAAAAAATGGTTTAAGTTGGCATTAATCACGACAGGAGGTTTTTTTTCCTAAAATATCTACCCTTGAAAAGTACGAACTTTATTCCAGGTGTAATTTCTGTATGGTGTTACCTTATATACAAATTTTAAATTTTTTGAATATAAAATAAATACACTTAATTTTGTCCAAAAAGAAAAAAACAGAAATAACCAATATAATGTAAATTCGCTTAATTTATTCAAATATATTATTTTTATTCATATTGGCGATTTGCACAAAGATGTGCACATAATTTGTTCATTTCATCACAATGATTTGCCAGATTTTTATATACGCAGCATATTCGTTTATTAAAAATTCATGATTTTTAATTATGCATAACATGTTTCAGTTATTCTTGGGAATAACATTTTTTATAGCTCTGATGCAGAACGTGCCATAAATTGATCCACATCGATTTATGTAAATTTTGAAGATGTTTTTATTTATAAAACTGTCTTGTGATTTTATCTATAACATCTCAAGTTCAAAGACTGCAAAAAGTTGCTGAGTAAGCAAAATTAAAATAACGCAAAAATCCACGATCAGGATTTGTTAAATTAATTAATATTTGAAGATAATTTAAAACGTCTGGAAACCAAGTGTGGGAATTTAAAATATTCGAAATGTTACATTGTTCCTCGTCTATTTCACGAAACTTATTGTATACGATTTGGACAGACACGCTTAAATTATAAATCACTCAGAAAATCATTTAAACTAAATCCTCAATCTATTTTACATTTTAAAATTCATAAATATCTATTGCCCTGTATCAAAGTGAGGTATAGATTATAGAATAAATTAATTAGTTTTTACTACTTACCAAGTTTACAGGTAGAAATATTAACAACAAAACTTAAAAAAAAATCCTTATCCAAAATATATGATGTTTTTGTATTAGTATAACCTGCAATGAAAAAAAAGAAAGAAAATTAATAAAAATATAAATAAAATATGATACATATTTTATTTTCTAAATATTTGAAATTTGGAGGCATATTTTATGACAAAGAAGATTCAATTAATTTCCTCAATATATTTAATATTTTCACATTTATATAAAAACATGTTGAAATAGATTTAAATAAAAATGTTTAATAACCTACAATTTTAGTTTTAACAATTTAACTATATTTTTGTGTTTGTATATCATGTTTTTATTTCAATTATTGAAAATAAATTAAAAAATAATTGAAGAAATTATTAAAAACATTAATTTATTATTTTTGATTTTTTTTTATCTGATTATTTATATTTTTTAATTTAATGTTTTTAATTTTATTTTTTCAATTTAATTCTTTTAATTTATTATTTTTTTAATCTAATTTTTTTAATTATTTTTTTTAATTTAATTTTGTTTTAATTAATTTTTTAAATTAAATTTTTTTTTTAATTTATTTTTTTTAATTTTTTTAATTTATTTTTTTTTAATTTAATTTTTTTAATTTAATTTTTTTTTAATTTAATTTTTTTAGGATTTAATTTTAGTTGTTACAACTTATTTTTTTAAATTTAATTTTATTTAATTTTATTTTTGTATTATTAATTTGATTTTTTATTAAAAATTGATTGATTACGAACAAAATTGTATTTAATTTTGCTCTTCTGAAACACATTTTAATTTTCGAAATTTGATTTTAATTAAAAAAATAATATTTTTTAATTTAATAGCATAATTTTCTATTTAAAAATATGAAATTGTTTAAAATATTTTTTATTGTTTGATTAAAGTTTTTTATTATATAGTTTTAAGTTCTTAATTTAACCTGATATATTAAATTTAATTTACAAAAAAAAATAAATTGTTATAAGGTTTTTATACAAACGTTATCATTACTTTCAATTTTTTTAAACACACCTCAACATAGGTATAAATGCTTTTTATTTCATTTAACTTAAGTTGATATTTTTTATATTTATTTTTATTATTTTTTATTGTTTTGATATTGCACTACTTTGGCGACAGCCTTCACGTGAATGCGCTGCCGTATGCGAAAATCGTTTAGAAAAAGGTTCGCCCGCCAGCAAAAAATAAGTAAATAAGCGCGGTGGCAGAAGCAGCGGCAGAAAAAACAAACACTTGAAATTAATGTCGATTTTTGTGTGCGTGGTGTACGGTGCTTGGTTAAATGCGAATCGACGGCCAGTCAAAAATATACTGTGTCCCATAAAGCTAAGGCTGGCTCACACACCCGAAACGCTGGTGTCCAAGAATGCTCATCGTTAAATATTTGCTTTATATTTTTTTCATTTTTCTACGAGCAGCAAAAAAATTTCTCGGTCGCGTCGTATGTTGTTGTTTTTGTTGTCGTTGCTGCTGCAAGCCAAGATCAAATGTTAAAAATGCAAAAACTGCATTAATTAATAAATAATACAAGTGTTAAATGTTCATGTTCCATTTTGTTGTTTTTGCTGCTTTAGCGCTTTTTTCATTTTTATTTAATTATTCGGTGGTGGCGGGCGGGATGGAGGAGTAGGAAATTGACAAAAACTCTTACGTTTCCTAATTACATTGAACCCCGCGCGCCAATGACGTAGTAGATTTATTAAGTCAGTCAGATCAATTAAAATAAATCATTCAAGAATTTATTGAAAAATACAAAACCATATTTGCATGCAGGTATAAGGTCCAACTTTCTCAGGTAATTTTTTTTTTTTAAATCAAAATAAAATAAAATGTGCAAATCAATTATGGGAAAATTTTGAGAAGGTTTTTTATGTGTGCACATTTTTACGTAATGAATATGCAGCATACGTCATGTTTGAGTAAATAATTTGGAAGAAATTTTCGATATAAATTAAATTTGAAAATAAATAGCATACAAGGTCGATATAACTTCTAGAAATCATAGCAATAAATGTATATAAGGTTGTTCAACACTTTGTATTTATTTAAGGTTAGTGAATTCAACTCCACCCCAGCATCGAATTTATTGAAGGTTTTAATTAAAAAATAGATTGAAAACATTTTGTTTCGGATGTTCTTACATTTAAATAAACCTCATGCAATTTTCATGTTTACAAGGGATTTATTTAAAAAATAAGTAAATAGTTGTTTTTATAAAAAAAAAAAACAAAGTGAAATTTCGTCTATTTTAAAATAACAAAATACAAATGGTATAACAATTTTTATTCATTTTACTTTATTTTTTTATTTCTTTTACTTATAGTTTTTACATATTATTATTTAATTTATTTATTATTATTTTATTTGTTATTTATTTATTATTTATATTTTATTTATTTATATTATTCTTTATTATTATTCTATTTATTGCTTTTATTATTATTTTATTAATTAATTTATTTATTTTATATTTTTTAATAAAACTCAACAATTCTTTGTTTGGAAACAAATTAAATGTAGTGTATTTAATAAGTTTTCACGTCAAAAGCAATATTGAAATATAAACAGTTATTTGATTTCCGGTTCTCAGAAGTGAAATGAAGCGGAAAAGAAAATACGTTGCACCTAAACGCGTGCTGTATACTTAATTATGAGCGGTAACACACACATAATGACAGACAGACAGCTAGACATGCAACAACAGGTTTCATTATTAATTGATACTTTTTATTATTTGAAAATTAAAAGCTATATACAAATTAATTTCATAAATGATATTGAATATGAAAAAATGAAAATGAAAAAAATCTTGGTTAAAGGGAAAAACTGTACCTAAATACCCAGCAAACAATTTTGTGGGAATATTTGTGGAGTTAATTTGTTTGAAAAAAAATAATAATATCATAAATTTCGATACAAATTATAAAATTAAAAATATTAAGAAATATAGTACTTTGTTCTGGGACTTGCAACCTGAAAAATAAAAAAGACCTCAAGCTCGAAAAAATATATTGTTTTATTATATAAGAATCAAAAGGTCGAACATTAAGAAATATATTTAAAAATTAAACAATCTAAATCGAAGAAATTCAATTTTATGAGTTTTTACGAACCCTTTGGAATTAATCGCCACCAACTAATGTATAGTTTGGACATTTCCAATAAAAATTAACAGATATAAATAGAGCAAGTAAATATTGGTCCCACCCACCTCTTTGTATATGTAATATCTCGACTATCTGAGTCGATCAAGTCATATGTGTCCGTCTGCACATTGTAATTTGTAAACACGATACAGGTGACACAGTTATGGACCAATCGCCACGAAATACTAAATGTAGGAAGAATTTATAATAATTAATGTAATGATATCATAACAACAGAGTAAAAGTAATCTTTGGATAATTTCTGACTCTTCTTATATAATTATACTTTTTTTGTCTTGGCTTGATGTGAGTAGGGTAATAAGGGCATTCGGTTAATGCTGTCATATGACATTTCAGGCAATTCGCCCCAGATGGTTAGTGTCTTCGATACAAACCCAAGCTGCCATCTAAAGGCAAATTGACAAAATAACAATTTAATATTATATCATTTTAACGAATGGCAATATTTACCCTACTGATATGTTGGCATAAAAAGAAATTATTGGATGTCAGATGAAGCTGTACTAAGGATGATCTATTAATTCCAATTTTAATGGTTCATAAAATCGCTTCTTTGGTACAAAGAAATTTTGAAAAAATTTTTCATAAAATCGCCACAGGAGGATCTATGTAGGAGCCAAAAAAGCCCCAAAATATAAATAGCAATCGAAAATGTGGATTTAGGAAGACAAGTCAAATTCGTAATTTCAAAATGATTCAATGATTCGTAATTCAAACGAATTTTTAATATGTCAATTTTGAATTTTCAGTTATATCGAGGTATCGAGATCAAAAAGATATAGAATGTGGAAGTCCAACATTATAAATATGTGTGTCAATTGTCTACTACAAATATACATTAGTTTTATAACCATTTGAAAAGTAGCTCAATGTTCCACTAACCTAAAAAGACGTTTGCAAATTCACTTTGAAATTTTATTTTAATTCTTTCAAACAAATTTGTTCTATTTTGTGAGTCTTTGACACTTTGGATTTTAGTGACAATAATTTCAATTGGCACAATTTAAACACAAAGCAAAAAATTAAATTTGCGAATTGAAATAGAAAATATAAAACAAAAAAGCCTATATAAATAATTAATTTACAAGTAACTAGGGTAAATAATTAGCACTACTAGATTTTAATTAGGGTTTAGGAATTTTAGGGTAAGTAGTAATTTGCATATTTGGTTTTTGCAAAAAAGAAAGAAAAGCAGACAGTATTTTACAATTAATTCCGTGATTTGTATTAATTTGTTCAATTTGAAATTCGGAAATATTGACAAAGGTGCATCATATGTGAAAAATGTAAATTTAGTATAAGGGAAACTACGTATTTGAAAAAAGGCATTTCTTTGTATTGTAATAATAAAATTATTAACGTCATTTTAAATCTCTTGTGTATTTTTAATCCGTTAATACCCTGCGTAAGCCCGCTGACAACTTATAATATTTAATACATATGCTAAACATGGGATTTGAAAAGCAAATATGTTTTGATTATAAAATATTCTCAGGGAACAATAAATATTAAGCAGGAATTTAATAATTAAATTGACATAAATTGCGGATTGATCGGATCGACTATAGGGGGAAACACATAAGAAGACTTCCGGATTGGCATGTCAAAACGGCAAATACGTTAGAACTTTTTACCGGGTTAACCTACATTATGAGGATTTATTGGAAACCCACGAAATCCGGTTAAATAATAAATAATACTATAAATTGGTTTATTTCATTGTAAAAGAATAAAGGAGAACTGCGCCCAAAAGCCAGTTTTATTTTGATATTCGTTTATAAATTGATATTTCATACAAAACCAACTTAAGATGACAGGCCTTATTCCTCGTAAAAAAATCCCTAACCTTCAAAAGACTTAAAGGGCCCCATACACTATA